CCTCTCCACCCCACGCCCCAAACCCAAACGGCCCCTCTCCACCCCACGCCCCCAAGCCAAATGGCCCCTCTCCACCCCACACCCGAAACCCAAACGGCCCCTCTCCACCCCACGCCCCAAACGTCCTTCCCAGAGTGAGCTGGTGGCAGTCAGGCTGGCTGGGCAGTGTCCTGACGGACTGGGGACCCTGCCACTGGTGGGTCCCTTGGCCACAGACTTCATCAGCGGAGCCCAGTACCAGGGCCCGGCTACCGCTCACCTGTTCCTGGGAGCACGCCGCCCGGGTACACCCCTGGAATGCCAATACCTGCCAGCCAAGAAAGGAAGAACAGTGACTGTCTGTCCAGCTGATTGGTCTCACCCTTCCCAGCCCCGCACTAACGCCTTCTCCATCACCTACCTGGTACCTTGGCAGGTTTCCCTCCAGCGCCTACTCCTGGCTGCACCCCAGTCTGGGGCACTACAGCACCTGCAGGAGAGCCAGAGGCCATGAGCACTGGACCAGCAGACAGCATGGCAGGCCCCTGCTCCTCTCAGGGCACGGCACGGGGCAGTCAGAGTTGTGCCCAGGGGTGGGCAAGCCCTGGACTGCAACACACCTTACCTGTGGAGACGCCAACACCGCCGGGTCCACCCACACCGCCGACTCCGCCCACACCGCCGACTCCACCCACTCCGCCCACACCAGCACCTGGTTACGAAAAGGAAGTGCTGAGCCATAGTGCACAGCGGGCTCCCAGCAGGAGACCAGATCCCCGGGTATTTCAGGCTCAGCCCTGGGCCCCGTGCCCAGCTTCGATGAACCATATGCTCCAGGGGTGCGAGCGAAGTTCAGCCTCAGTGGGCACTCTGCTGCGGGCTTCCCCATGCTGCCCTCCCGCCAATGGGTGCCATCCAATGTGGGCTTCCCTACACTGTCCCACAGGCCGCAGGAGTGACAGCCTCTGTTGTATCAGATAGGGAGAGGCCTCCCTGAGCCTGGGCAGCAGGATCCCAGCCTGTCTGGCGCCAGGCACTGCACACCCAGCTCTGCGCTTCCTATGCACTGACTCCTAACTCCAGCCAGTGCACTCGGCTCAGCACGTGGCCCACGGGCACAGTCTCCACTGGGCGCACCTCTGCCCCTTCGCCCCCAGCTCTCTACCCCACCCCCTGGGCCAGCTCTAGCCCAAGAGACCAGCGCCTCTTGTTTGCCACTTCACACCTGGCTGGAGACCAGGACCTACCCCAGAGAAGGCAGGAACCCCAGGGCTCATGGCAAGAGAGCCAGGCAAGAGGGCAAGGTAAGGGCAGCAGGGGATACCTCTTCAAGCCCAGGGCATGCCAGCTTTGCCAGACCAGGGGAGGCCTGAGCTCCTGGTCTGGCTGCGGTGCCAGGTTCCAGGGCGTCTGGCGATGCCTATCCCAGTGCCTGTCCTAAGCCGGCTTGCAGATGAATGCAACTGGGGCGTGGCAGTGGCAGCGGGCACCAGGGAGGGGCAGGGGCATGCAGGCACCCTGGATCAGCCCCTGCAGTAGAAAGTCATGTGCACTCACCAGCTTTGGCAACAGCTTTATAGGCTCCCAGCCCAGCCCCTGGGTAGATGCCGCCCGGGTAGACGCCTCCTGGGTAGAAACCTGGCTGGACTACGCCACCTGCCAGAGAGAAGGAGAGTTAGCTGTGACCCGGGAGACTCCAGCTCCATGGGCTGGGGGGATTCACCCCCAGTTAAAAGATCCCAAGATGGTGTGGAGCATCCAGCTGTCCTGTGGCTCCCCGAAAGGGGGGCTCCATCCCCGCCCCATGTGCTTGTGCCTGTGGAGTGGGAGCCAGGCCTGGAGTGCCTGTCACAATGGGGCTCTGACCCTGATGGGGGGGCTGAGGCTGAATCCCCATTGCTCAAGGCTGGGAACAGCCCCAGCTCCCTGGGCCCCACAGCTGCGAAGAAGCCTGGCTCCCCAACCCCCACGCACTGCAAGGTTGTCCAACCTCCTTGGCAGCCTTGCACATCTCAGCGCCTGTCTCTGTGGCTTGGGCAAACGGGGATCAGGAGAGGCGCACAAGGATCTGCAGTGTGCGCTGTATGCAAGGGAGTGCCCTGGGTGAGGGGTCCATGCCAGCCCCTCCGGGGCAGGGTTCAGCCTCCCCAGAGAGCCCCTAAGAGTCAACACACTCACCTGGCTGCAGGCCAAGTGTGCCGAGTCCCCCGAGGCCTGGAAAGAGAAGATTGGTGAGAAGCACTACAATCTCACCCAGCACCATGCCAGGGGAAGGCCAGAGAAACCCTCCACTAACACAATTCCCAGACGGTGTCGTCTGTGTGAGTGTGAACAGTTCTAGCCCATTCAGCCAGGCTCAGCTGGAGCCAGTCGGGAGGGCCCAGTGGCAGCAGCCTGTTCTGCCTCTCGGAGAGGCAGCTCGAACACTGGCCCTTGGAACGAGAGCCGTGGTGACTGCTGGAGCCTAGAGGCTCCCTTGTGCCCCGGGATTTCTCTGCCTCCTAGGCTGGGGAGCGGGAGTGACTGGGGCCAGCCCCCCTGGCTCCCAGAATTGCAGCTTTCATTTAGATAACCAGGGAGTCTCTCTCCCGCATGGCTGCCTGGGTAACTAGAACCGTGCACCCCGAGTGTACCCAGTGCAGGCACTCACAGGCTCATGGATCCGCAGGCCAGACGGGACCAGCTAGTCTGACTTCCTGCATAACGCAGGCCGGAGACCTGTCCCTAAATCATTCCTAGGGCAGAGCTTTTGGAAAAACATCCACTCCTGACCTACACATCCCCAGTGCTGGAGAATCCCCCATGCTAGGGTGACCATATTTCCCAACGGGAAAACAGGACACCCCCAGCTGCTCGTCCGAGCCCCACCCTTTCCCCTGCAAGGCTGTTGCTGGTCGCTGAAACCCTGCTGCCCCACGACCGCTGCATGCTGGAATGCTGCCTCCCCCCACCAAGCCCTCCCTCCCTCTGCGAGGGGCTGGCATCTCCACTCGCCCCCCACGTGTTCTTTTGCACTGCACCCCTGAGCACGTCGGCAAGAGCGAGCGGGACAAATGCCCACTTCCACAAAAACAGTCAGGATGGCTGGGACAGGGCTTAAAAAAGGGACTGTCCCGGCCAAAACGGGATGTATGGTCACCCTACCCCATGCCCCTTGGTAAATTGTTCCAGTGGCTAGTTATTCTCATTGTTAAACATTTACGCCTGATTTCCATTCTGAATGTGTCTAGCTCCAATTTCCAGCCCCGGGAGTATGTTGGCCCTTTCTCTGCTACACTGAAAAGCTCATTGCTAAGTACGTTTTCCCCGTGGAGACATTTGACTGTGATCTTGTCACCGCTGAACCGTCTCTGTGCTCAGACACTGCGTGAGTCTGCAGAGAGCCTGAGCAAGAGCACTGTGTGGGCCACCTGCCTCGCTTCCTTTCCAGCCGCCGCTGACCTTGGAGCCTAAGGAGGAACAGCATTGGTAACTATCTCCTTGCTGACGCAGCACACAGGAATGGAGAGGGGCTGGATCCTTGCTTTTGGCTCCTCAATTGGGTGGTGCTTGCGGTGTGGGAGGAGCTTTGGAGAGTCACTTCCCTCCCCACGTGTGCCCTGGGGTGAGGAGCTGGTGCAATGAGATGGGAAGCGCCCTAGGAGCAGGGCAGGGATAATGAGAACAGCTGCACGCTGGGGCAGGTCGAGTGGCTCCCTGCCCCGCCCTGCTGTGCCCATCTGTCTCTTCTCCATCACTCTGTGTCCCATCCCTGCCACCCTCTGGGCTCTGTCCCCCCCATGCCGCAGGAGGCAGCGATGGGACTGGATCTGAAATGTTTACGAGTGTGGAGCAAGTCGCTCTGGCTCAGGACTTTGATGCCTTCCAACATCTGTGCCTAATCATCCGCTCGCTCCTCCAGACACAAATTCCACTGCCCTTGGCTGAGGGCGGCTGCCAGCACGCAGGCTGGGCCTGCACAGCTCCGGACCGTTTGGGTTTCATTACCCACAAACACAGGCCTTGTTTTTCTTTCCACACACTGAAATTGGAGACCTGCCTTGCCAGGGACACCCGCGGAGATGCAGACGGACAGGCCCAGGGGCCAATCGCATTGCAGCTCACCTAGGCTCTGGGCAGGGCCAAGGTTGGACGGGCAGTCTGACCTGGGAGTACCCCAAAGGGGTTGGAGCCTCCTGGCCCCACTCAGACGGGCACCTGGCAGCACGGGTGATCTCCAGCCCCAGTCCCCGGGCCTGACACAGCATCTCTCACCTGCTTCCCAACGTGCCAGGGGCCCAGCCCCCTTCCTTCCTGCCCCCTCCCTAGCAACCAGATGAGCTAGGACCCAGCTGCATGCCCCTGATCTGATGATGACACACACACTGGTCCAGCCGTCCCACTGGACAACACGGTGATGACACATGCGCTGGCCCAGCCTGGCATAGTAGAGGGCCCCATGATGAGACGTGCACAGGCCCAGTGATGACACGTGCACTGCCAGCGTCATGCCTCTTGAAGTAAGTGTGGATCCATCCTACAACAACCAGACGATTCCTCAGCAACTCCATTCACAGCTAGAGGGTGTCTCCAGGCACCATCGCAGCCTTGGGGCAGCCTCTCACCCCACAGGGCTGAAGCCATGTCTAGCTATGCCAGAGAGGTTTCTGGGAAGCACCCTGCCCAGCTAAGCCCACTGCAGGCATTGCAGGGGAAAGGCTGGGCTGGGCACTGCCATCTCAGTGACCTGAGCAGGCTCCTGGTGGCCCTATGCGGAGCCTCCTGCAGGCTGCATGTCTCTCACTGTAAATGGGACCCTCTGCCCCACAGATGCCTCCTGCTGCAGTGTGGGGTTTGCCTGAGCAAAGGCACCTGGCTGGTTGTTTGGCCTGGCACTGAATCCTGCAAGGTGGAGAGAGGCTCTGCCAGCTTTCCAGGGCACAACCTCCTGGCAGCCGCTGGATTTGGCATGGGGCTGACATTACTGCAGCTTTAGGTCTGCCCTGAGAGGGACACAACTGACTTGGAGCTCCTGAGCTCTGTCCCTAGCGCCAGGATGGCTGACTTACAGACAGACAGGGACAGATAGGCTGGGGGAGCCAGAATCCTCTCCCTGCCCTAGGGCTCTGCATGCTGCAGTTCCCCAAGCCGTTCTGGGCACCAGGGAGTGCTGGGCTCTGGCTCAATCTCCTGGAGTTGGCATTTAACTTCAGGCTAGCTGAGGCCTGACATGCCTTCACCAGGCCTCGCTGGCAGCAGAAGAGGCTGCCTGGAACCAGTGCCCAGGGGCTGCCAGGTGCAGATGACCATAGGCCAGCAACTCTGCCGTGGCCTGGGCCTTCCTCTCATCAAGGCATTGGCGGCCACTCTGCCCCCTGTGGAGCGGGGACAGTGCCAACCAGGGCTCCAGCGCCACACCTCGTGCCAGTGCTCCAAGGAGTCATGGGCTGCCAGCCCCAGGGTATGAAGGAGGCCAAGGCCGCCCAGCCTTTCCTTTCCCACACGAGAACCCGGTGAGTTCTCAGCTCCCAAGATGCCCGCCGGCGTGAATCCCTGGTTGGGGACCAGGCACGGACAGCAGTGGTCCCAAGGCACTGGGGGAGGAGGCGGGGGCAGCTGGCAAAGCAGGGAACTACCAAGTGTGGGAGGGGGTCTGAGCTGGGGCAGTGTGATGTGCTGGCACGGGTGCCATCAGGGCACAGCGAGCAGGGCTGAGGCTGGGAGGCGAAAGGCAGCTGCCGAGGAGTCGTGTTTGCCAAGGCAGCATCCTGAGTGGTGACCCCCCACTCAGCCCCATGCAAGAGAAACAAGGGCAGCAGCTGATGGGAAACCCCTACATGTCCACGCCTGGCTTCTGCTGAGCCCTCCCCCTAGCAAATGGAGCCCTGCGCTGTCCAGCCGAGAACCCGCAGACGGGGAGACGTCCCTTACCTGGCTTGGGAGGTTTTGCTCCAACACCGAGCCCTAGAGAAAAGCAAGAGCCCAATGGATGCGGTGAGTCTGGTGCTTGGAGGGAGATGCGCAAGGTGCCAGCCAGCCCCTTGCCTCGGGAGGTTGTGTCGCACAGGTGGCTGGCCTGGCACCAGCGAGATGAACCTGGCACACTGGCCATGCACCTCTGGGCAGAGAACCGCCCCCGCATTGCCCCACCTGAGAGCCAGACACATGGGTTCGAAGGCCCCACGAGGCTGGTCTCCTGGACAGCATGGGTCTGAGAACTTCCCTGACTTGATCCCTGGGTGGCTGGAGCAGAAGCTTCCAGACGTTAGTCTGCGAGACCGAAGGGCCCTCCCCCTGGAGAATCCAACAGCATTGCAGAAGAGGGCATGGGCCACCATCTTTGGTTATGGGGGGACGCTGTAGCTCAGGAAGCAGATGCCTCCACACCAAGGTGAAGGACCCACTACAGGTGCTTCTGCACAAGGGGCGGGGGGGGCTCCCTGGGGGGAGCCGCTAACCAGTGCCCCCATACCCAGGAGAAGTGCTTGCTCCCAGGGACTCAGCCAGCAGCGAGCCTGCTTGCCAGCCACTGCTGCCTCGGGCCATGTAGGTGGAGACTGTGGGTTGTGTATCTCAGGGCAGTACTCACCTGCACCCCCAAGTCCAGCTCCAGCCCCTAGGCCTCCTACTCCCAGGCCTCCAATCCCAGCAGCTCCTGCAAACAGCAGCACATGCTCAGCGCCCTGCCCTCCAGCCCTGCCCGCATCACGGCTTTGGAGTAATCAGTACCTGCAGGTGTAGCCCTGAGAGCTGCCATCCCAGGGCTTCCACCCCACCATGCTCCAGCCCAGAGCCACAGGAACAAGAGCCAGGAAGACGTGGGCAGCTGGTCCCCTGCCGGCTTGGGGTCGGACTGCCCGAGAGAGACCCCTCTTTCCTTTGGGCAGTGCGCAGTGAAAGGTTGCTGCAAGCACCCTGCTGAAGGTCACTGCCTCTGTCGGCCCCACCCCCGCCCAGTCAGGGCTGCAGGCTGTGGCTAAAGGTACGTGGTGAGACAGCTCCTTTCCAGTGTGCTCTGCAGCAGGGACAGCCGGTGCTGCACTGCAGCAATCCTGCACTCTCAGTAGATGGTGCTGCAGAGAACAGAGTCCCGCCAGCCAGAGCTGGGCTCTCAGGCAGTGATCTGCCAGGTTCCCTGGCTCTAGGGTGACCAGATGTCCCGACTGTCCCGATTTTGAGCAGTTTGTCCCGCGTCCCGACCGAAGTACGGTCGGGACACCATTTGTCCCGATATTTTGTTTCGGGTGGGTTTTTTTGTTTGTTTGTCTGTTACACTCACCTGACCGGTGGGCGCCTTTTTAATTGTTACCCTCACCCGTCTGGGTCTTCGGCGGCAATTCGGCGGAGGGTCCTTCAGTCGCTGACGGTCTTCGGTGGCATTTTGGCGGCGGGTGCTTCTGTCTTTGGCTGCAAGACTTATTACCTTCTGCTGAAATGCTGCCGAAGACCGTCAGCGACTGAAGGACCCGCCGCCGAATTGCTGCCGCAGACCCGGAAGGCTGAGTGTAACAATTAAAAAGGCGCCCCCCTGCGGCGGTCCCGATATTTTACAGTTAGCATCTGGTCACCCTACCTGGCTCCCAGAAGGACTCAAGGGGCTGGCTCTGTGCTGGGAATGCAGGCTCTGAATTCCGTCACGGCCCGGTGCAGGGGCTGAGCCCTGATCTACATAGGGATGGCAGTGCCTAGTCCAGGATTCAGGCGACCAAGTCCCAGGTCTAGGCCCCACTGCAATCCACAAAGCTCCCGCTCATGCCTGGAGGTGCCTAAACTCTCAGCACCTAAGTTTTGAGGGTTAAAGTTCCCTCAGTGCCTAAGTTTCTGCATCTGGGTACATGTCCTGCTGCCTTCTCTAGGCACCCGACACCCACCTCCCGCCTAAGCCCCAATGCAAAGGGGGGGAAGACAGGCATTCCTCCACCTGAGTCATGTGCCGAGCCCCATCCAGGGGGTGGGCTCAGAGGCCACCTGCCAGATCAGGTCCCATTCAAAATTCAGCTGGAGGAGTAGTGGTGCTTATCTTATAACGCGTAGCCAGGGGCTAGTGTGCTCACCTGGGATGTAGGTGACCCAGGTTCAATTCCCATCCCCCGCAGGATCTGAACAGGCGTCTCCCAGTGCTCACCAAGGTGCTCTAATGACGGAGCCATGGGATATTCTGATGGGGGGAGGCTCCCTCCAGCTCTCCTGCTGAAGCTGTTCTATGGTAGGGTGACCAGATGTCCCGATTTTGGGGGCTTTTTCTTATATAGGCACCTATTACCCCCCACCCCCGTCCCGATTTTTTACACTTGCTGTCTGGTCACCCTATTCTATGGGGCTAACTAATCCGAGGTTAGAGGAGGGGGTGGGCCCAGGGGCTTCCACCTCCGAAGCGTGTGCCCTAACCACAGAGAATCTCGCTCTCTCTGGCCAGTGACTGGCCAGCATTAATCCCCAGAGGCACAACCATTGGGGCAGAAAGGGACAGCAAGAGAATGGCTCTATAGGCCAGTGCTTTGGGCCCCCTGGGAGGTGGGGGACCCCTGGTTCACTGAGAGCCTGAGGGGGCCCCACAGCAGAATAGCCCCGTGCTCTCACTCCTGGAGTAATAGTCACAAGGCGGGCTGCTCCTCCTCCAGCTGTTGTGTATGGAGCGAGGCACACACCTACCTCACGCCTGCGAGAAACCAGTAGGGGCCTGCGCCCCGCACACTCCAGTGGAGGGCTTCCTGCTGAACCCTTCCTGGGTTGCTAGCAGAGACAGGTGCCTGTCTGAGGACACGTCCCTGCCATCGGCCATGTCCACTGGCTAGCTTAGGTGGCTCGTTGCCCCACGTGCTGACTTTTGTGCCCAGCAGTCCAGGCACTGTGCAGGGAGCCTGGGCACCTACGTGGGCTTTGTGGATTGCAGCGTGTTCCGGTGGATCCGGGCCTGAGCCCATGCAGCAACTCAGACCTGGATTGGACCCCCGGCTGTCATAAACCAGGGGCAAGACAAAGGAACCGGGCTACAACATGACTCACGTGACAGGGCTGGGCTACAGTGTGCCTGGCTGATAGGCGTCCTTCTGCTGTGTTACCAGGTGTCACCCTGCTGCCACCACCCCAGCTGCCTGGATTGTCGGGGCAGCCAGCGCACTAAGGCCAGGGCACGGCTGCTTTGCTGGGGCCCGGGCTGCGACTGTGTCACTGAGCAGAGACAGCTCCCCCGGGTTCTGTGTCTCCCCGTCCCCATGCAGTGCCTCAGCCAGGGCCACGCGCAAGTGAGCACCAGAGCCGGGACAGGAACCAGGCTCTACCTGACTCAGCTCAGGCCCAGCCACGCCGAGCAGCTCTGCCTCTGCCCAGAGAGACCATGGCCAGCCCTGCTGGAGGGGGCTGTGCGGAGGGGTGACACAGACAGCTCTGCTTGCCTGGATCCACACCTGACTGTCCCTTGCGGGGTTCCCACCCTTGCACATGGCTCCTGCTGGCCAGATTCATCCAAACACACTCCTGTTGGGGCGAGGGAGACATTTCCTGAGCTCCCAGCCCTGGAGACCCCTCTCCCCTGGGGCCAGCACCCCCTTCTGGGACAGGCTGATATTTCCATCCACAAGCCTGGGGACCCCTCTCCCACTGTGCTCTCACTTCCCTTCCCATGCAGGGGAGAGCGTGCCCTGCTGGCTGGGGAGACAGTCCCATTTCCTGCTGCTTCCCGTGTCCCGCTGGGGGGTGTGGGTTCTTACCTGGGTAATATCCTAGAGCCGGAACTCCCACTCCAGCACCAGGCACCCCTGCAAAAGGAACAGGCAGCGTCACGCACAGCCAGCCAGGGAACACACCCGCCAGGCCCCGTCCATCCAGTAGTTGGCTCATAGGGAGCCCAGAAACCTTCCCAGGACAAACAGGGAAAGCAGGACTGCCCCTTGAGTGCACGAGCTCCGGGGCAGTGCCGGGTCCCAGCTTTGCTGTGGGATCAAGAGCCATTCCCTCCACCTCCCTGTGCCACAGTTTGTCCATCATTACTGTGGGGAAAATGACACTGACCCGCCTTGGGGAAGTGCTTTGAGATCTACAATGGGCAAGTGCGATGTAGGTAGCAGCATGGGGTCGGGGCGCTCAGAGGCCCTGTCATTTTGCTAACGGGACCCAGAAAAGCCGCACATGCCCCTGAGACTCAAGGTGGAGGGCCGTGACACCCCTCAGTCCCAAGGTGGAGGGCCGTACACCCCTGAGGGCCCTGGTGAGGGCCGTACACCGCTGAGGGCCCTGGTGGAGGGCCGTACACCGCTGAGGGCCCTGGTGAGGGCCATACACCGCTGAGGGCCCTGGTGGAGGGCCGTACACGCTGAGGGCCCTGGTGAAGGCCATACACCCCTGAGGGCCCTGGTGGCAGGCTGTACACCCCTGAGACTCAAGGTGGAGGGCCGTGACACCCCTCAGTCCCAAGGTGGAGGGCTGTACAGCCCTGAGGGCCCTGGCGGAGGGCCGTACACCCCTGAGGGCCCTGGCGGAGAGCCGTACACCTCTGAGGGCCCTGGTGGAGGGCCGTACACCGCTGAGGGCCCTGGTGAGGGCCGTACACCCCTGAGGGCCCTGGTGGAGGGCCGTACACCGCTGAGGGCCCTGGTGGAGGGCCGTACACCGCTGAGGCAAGGGAGTACCTGGCTCTCCTCCCTGGGGCAGGAGTCTGGCCTGGCTCTAACTCCTATCCAGCTGGTGTAAGACTCTGGGGAGTGTCTCCTCGTGGTGGGGGACAGTGTCCCCAGGCCCTGTCTGGGGCTAACAGGCCCGTCTCCAGGGCCCTGATCTCTGGGCAGCTGAGCATGCTGCGGGGGGAAGGGCTCGGCTCTGGGATGCCGGCTGTTCCTGTAACACCCCACACAGCTGTGCTCTGGGACAGCCCCGGAAAGGGGGAGGCCCACGGTTGTGTCAGTAGAGGCAGCCCTGCAGCAGTGTCTGTGCCAGACCAGTGCTGCCCGGGATTCAAGCCAGCATCATTTCTCAGGCTGGGGAGGGGAGGCTGAGCTACAATGAACCTGATCACTGCCATGAGGCTAGGAGAGCCCCAGCTGATGTCCTCAGGCAGGATCATCGCCCCAATCCCACCGACACCTGTCCCTATGCAGAACGGGGACAGGGCCCACCTTTCCTGCCATTGCCCTGCTCCTAGCTGGCATTAGACAGGCCCGGGGCGCTGCTGCATGAACCTCCATCCCTTTGCATAGAACCATACGCTTCTGTTGACAAGCTCTCTTGTGTGGGCTCAGTGCTGGGACGGCTGTTGTATTTAGAGCAAACCCTCTGTCTATCTACAGGGCAGCACCAGTCAGGTCTCCCAGACAGTACAAAACGGCCCGTGGTGTTTGGGATGTGGGAGCTGGAGTTCCAGGGAGTATCCCAGGCCCAGATCACTAAGCTCCTTGCAGAGGAGCCAGCGGAGGATGGGTTTTCTGGGAGCCCGAGGCTGCCAAGCTGGGCATGGAGCTCTGCCCGGGCTGGCCTAGTGCGACCTCTGTGTAAAACGGGGCAGGAGGCTTGCTTGCCTGCCCTGGGCGGGGCCTGGGTCTGGGAGGGCACAGATGTCCTACCCACTGCCCGCAGGAGCTGGCCCGGTCCCAGCGTGCACAGCTGCCCCTACGCAAGGGCTGGTCTGAGGGGGCATTGCTCCCACATTGGAGAGGGGTGACGAGTGGCAGCCCTGCTCCCACATCCGCCCAGCCCATGAGTGGATGCTCTGCATCAGTCTCTACCTAGCCAGGTCCTTCTGGGCCAGCCCGCCCAGCTGGGTTATGTTCTTTGGGCGTGGAAGCTGAGGGAGTCACTAGCAGCTGCCCAAATAAACATGCCCAGCAGATGGCGTCGAGGGGCTGAGACAGAGCCTGCCTGCATGCGGCTGTTCTCACTGCTGGGGAGTTTTATCAGGCTTTGGAGAAGTTCTCATTTCCTTCCCAACGCCCAGCCCGGGCGCCCTACAGCCGCTCCAGCCAGGGACCCGGACACGTGTCCAGCTGGGACAAGCCTTCCTAGCGCTCTATGCTCCAGCTGCTTCTGCCCCTGGGGGAGGAGACAACGTCCTGCCTGAGCCATAGACAGCCCCAAGACATAGATATAGACTCCCAGCCTCCAGACACGCACAGAGCACTAGTGCCAGGGTTCACACCCCCAGCCCCCAAGCACACACAGGGCACTAGTGCCAGGGTTCACACTCAC